ACGCTTGTCATGGTAATCGCACTTGCATTGCAAAAATCGGATTCAAGTGCAACGCTTTTCGGACACGCCTACTGAAAATACGTCACTACCATAGAGGAATTTTGCGGCTACTCCTGACCTGCCGCCGCAAACTCTTAACAGCGACTGTAAACAAGATGGCTGAAGTGATTTTGCTCAGACGTTTAAGAAATCGGAGAAATGCTGATCGAATTCCTTGGCATTTAAGAGACAGTCGTAATGCTTTTGAAATGTCGGAGCGTGAATTCATCAGTTGATTCAGATTAAATCGGTTTGCTTCAATGAATTGAAACCTTTTCTGAAGGCAACTGCCAATGGATATTCTCTGCAAAAGCAGGTTTGTTTTTACTTTAGATTATGAAAACTGAAATACTTCTGGAAATGTTTCCGAATCAAAGACTATGCTTAAATGACCTATTTGAGAATATTATATATTTTTTATATACGTAAACACACAAATTTTTAATGTTATTGTATCAGGATTCTTTCTTTTTCATCCCGTTTTTTTTTTCGTAGTAATGATCGAAATCGTTAATTACTGCGAATTTTGGAATGCAGTAATAATATCACCATTAATTTATTGTTTTAATTACTCTAAAACGTAATCTCGGAGAAATGTTTCTTCTAACAGAAATTATGCATATGCCTGTCTTTGAGATATATATATATATATGTATATATTAGGGATTAGTTTTTTGGAATATTATATATTTTTTTCATGGTTTTAGATACGTGCATTTAATTTACATATGCTCTCAGAATTTCAGTGATATAGTAAATTAATTTGCAGCAATAATTAATCTTTGATATGTATGCAATTAAAATTTCATAATTTAAATTAACTTTATATGAAGAGAGAATATTTGTTAAATTCAAATTTAATTCTTTGCAGCAATGGCGCATGAGAATTATTTAAATTTAACTTTACTTTTTATTCTTATGAAACAATATATATATATATTCTGTAACTGTAGGGAAAAAAGCATGAATTTTTCTCAGCTGTTTAAACAGTTCCCATGTGTAAAATAGTATTTCATCCCCCAAAATATTAGTTAATTTTCTCCTAATGTATAATGTCTTGCCTGTTCGTACAGTGTGATTAATGTCATGGTAATTTTGGATACTTTCTATAGATCTTGCATAATAACTACACATGTAAGTTATATACACATTCGTAAATCTCTTATGATATGAAAAGTTATTGCAGACTTTCACATAAATATTAATAACTTGATATTCTCGATAACAGGTGACTTACCTTACTTCCGTAGACCATGATCAGAATTAAATAAACTTATAAGGTTATCATACTAAATTACACGAAAAGCAGCATGACATAAATAAATACAAAGAAATTAAATGTATTTACTGTACTAATAGATTATTATATTACACGACATTGGTTTTGCCCATGTATAATGGGAATGAAAGCCAGTTTTCCATAGAAAGTCCTCTACAGAGGCATCTGTTTTCTTAAGCAGATTGCTTTTACCACATTTCAGTGACCTTGATTTAAGTATGAAACTGGATAATATTTTCTTTCTGCATGAAATGTGTTAACTGAGTTTTAGAAATGTAAGCCATCTTGCAGTTACTGTGATAATACTAATTTTTGGTACCTCCATATTATACCATCAACCATGAAAGTTGTGCCAATTGCTGCTGTGGAATTCTGAGCCAGACATTTGTATACAGCAGTTACAACAAACCATACATCAGTCTCTCTGCAGAATACACGAAATAGCCCTGCTGTGAAAGTATTGGACCCACTTCGTGAAAAAACATTCGTTCATTACTACTGTTTTATTTGCGGTCAAATTTTACCAAAAGCTCATTTTAGAATGCTATGAATACAAGTTGTCTACAGGTAATTGTTCCAATTTCTTACTGTTTTGTTCGCTATTTCCACATACAGTAGATGTTAATTCTCTCGACCAGCTGTAAAAGAACTGGAGTGCAATCACAAATGTGATTCTACCTAGCTTACCAAGAATTATTTTGGGTTACATTCAAATGAAACCGCAGATGTTGCGAGTGTGGTGTGATATTAATTTTTGTTTTGTCTTCATTAACCGGAAAAATAAATTTTCCATTAATGGTGAAAAGGTAAGAAATATATGATAATAAGTATAATATTATAGTCATTTCAAATTACTGCAAGAATGTTTTATTATTATTATTCAAATAATAACAAAAAGCTATCTATACTATAATTATAGTGAAGTATTGATATTAAATAATACAAAAGCTTTTAGAATCACCTATTTACTACAATTTAATGAAAAAAGGGTAGCTATAATGTTTTTTTTTTTTTTTTTTTTTTGTTTGTTTTAACGTTTTTATTGCATATTTTTAATAATGAAAAAACAGTGACATATTTTTGTTAAAAATGGAAAGTAAACTCCTTAAAAAGACTGATTTATTAATATATCAACTATATTCAATGTTAAAAATCTGTGTATTAAAATTTCAGATGAAACTTTCTTTTGACTTAGGATTTATGTTTTTCTAGGTATGGGATGCTGGTCTGAGGGTTCTCTATGCTGTAGGACAATGGCCAGGCAATACTCATGATGCATTTATATGGAGTTTGAGTGGACTCGAACAAAATCTAGATAGTATTTTGTCGCATCGTGCATATCTTTGGGAGATAGTGGATTATAATCCCATTTTATCACGGGAATATCTCTATAATGAGAAGCACAGAAAAGTTCCTGCAGCTATAGAGATCAAATCAAGATTTAGGGTACTGCACGATACTGGTGGAACACTATTGTATTCACAAAGCAAAATATGTAAAATGGTCATATCTGGTGGCCATTTTACATAATATATGCTTAAGGTATTGTGTTGAAAATCCTGAGATTGATGTGTTTGAAGATGATGAGTTGGTACCTTCAGAAAGTTTTCAGTCAGTGCATGTTGAAATTGCATTGCACAATGAATTAATTTTAAATTTTGAAACTCGATAATAAAAACCCAAAGTGGGCAACAATGAACCTCTGGCAAAGGTGAAACCCCCTTCATGGATAATAAAGAATATATTATGAAAAAATTACTTTCATAATATATTCTTGGGGACCCACAAGCCATGGTTTATATTTGAACCTGTAACTAAATTCACAACCCTAAATGATTTTAATTGATAATAATAATCCTAAATAATTTTATTTGTCCTGGTTTCAAATGCATACTGACAACTTTTATCATTATTGTTCTTCCCTCTGAATTTCTTGTTTCCATCATTTATGTTTAAAAACTCTTGACTACCAGAAATAACTTAATAGGCTCGATATATATATATATTTCAGTGTTGGTATGCCAGTCATGATTTACAATAGTAAGTCACTATGAATTAGCATTGCACTTAATTTATCTCAAACTTAGCAATAAGATTTACTGCATCAAAATTCAGTTTCTTCCAAAAAGTCAAATGTTTCCCTTCCGTGAGACAAGATAGAAAATTTCCATGTGACAATACACATTTAATAGCATAAGAACTTCATGCTTATTTATTATAGTACAAATTAAAACTGACATATTCTGTCAAAGATATTTAAATGTATTTCCTAAAAACAATTATTTCACTCTATACTGTTTATGTATACCCAGGCTTCTTGGGGGTGGGCAAAACAAATATTGGACAGTTCAATTTTCCTCCACCATTCCTGTGAGCGTATTCTTCGATTAAGCAGGGTTTTGCTGCAATTCCTGATTAGCATAATATGTAAAGAATAAACAGCCTATGATTTATGCCTCCATATCCTCTTGTATTATTTAAAGAACATACATTTTTCCTTTAATTCTAGATTTTAAAACATTAAAGTAAGGGAAAGATTGTTTGCTCAATTTAGATTTATATCATAATTACGCATTCACTATAATAACTTACTGCATACTTACCTCAGTGGGTTTGCCATTAAAAGAAATACATTTAAATAAAATCATGAGTGTATAATAAATTGTTTTTCAGCCAAAAAAAGAGAAGGGGAAAATAAATACAGTCTGATTCACTCAACATTGTTATTGTAAACTAGACATTAGCCATACTTTAATAGTTGTCATCTTTAAGTTACTCTGTATTTTTAGAACTTCGAAATTAGAATGCCAATTTTATCTGCCATTGTTATGGAGCTGCAGGATATCGAATGTTATTTCTTCAATGATAAAAAGAAATGAAATTTTTAATACCACATCTCATTCATATAACTTATTAACATAATTGAAAAACAATTTAATTCATTTCATGTTATATCTGAAAATTAAAATTTGTAATACATTGACTAGATTCTTACAGGTCTTATTCCCATTTCCTCCTCCAGGAAAAAGATAATTGCTGTGTAAAATGCATAAATATTTTCACGAGACTTATAATAGTGGTATTAGAAATTATTAATGTTTATGTCATATAATGGATCTGTGAATTTCTTTTAAATAATTTTTATAATCACAAAATTTTATAAAAAATTAAGAAAGTAGTAAATTTTACAATTAAAATATGAATCCCACACTGCAGAAATATATATACAAGAATGAAAACACTGTAATATTTGAAATGCATGATTTATTTTTTTAATAAATTAATAATTATATTTTGATTTTCTATGACAGCAGTCTGATTTGCAACTGATTGCTTATACAAGTCACATATTTCACACAGTACATTAATATATTTCTTCTGCGTTTCAATTATTTCCTTTTCTGCAGCTGTAATATCATCTCTCTTCCTTTTTTCTCTTCGGTCTCCTGCTTCGAATAGTTGAGCTTCTATCTGAGGGAAAATTTTAAAATATTCATTCAAATTCAAATATTCTTAATTTTTATATTTCATAATGTAAAACACTTTTTATAATTAATTAAACAATGAAACTTCTCTAAAAAGGAACAATTCATAATAGTGATTTCTTTAACTTTCAATTTTTTTCCCTTTATAATTTTTAAGACTGTTTATAGATCAAGAGGATTTAATGATTATTATTTTAAATTCTTAAAATCTTGTTCTTAATAATAGACATACTCTGTATATAATGTTCACAATAAAGAATTGAAATAACTCTTTTGTATGAGAAATATTAATTTACATCTGTTATAATTAATTTATACCAGCGGTTCTCAGCCGGTGGTATGCAAAGAAACAAAGTATTTTTAACTATTAAATTCAAAAATCTCATAAAGAAAAGAATAGTTAATAGAAATTTCCTTTGATCGAAATTGACTCGAAGATTTGGAAAATGACACACTTGTTAACTTTTGGCTGAACCGAAAAAAAGAATTTAAAGGCATTTCAAATAAAGCTATCAAATTTGTATTGTCTTTTCGCACAACCTGTTTGTGTGAAAAATGATTTTTTCCATGTTAAATTTGAAATATAAATACTCACCAAAATAAAAAGTGGATCCTAATTTACCATTAAATGAAATAAGAGCAGACATAAAGAAATTAAATATTAAAGTATTATAACTGAAATTTTGATAATCAAGTGAATAATTAATTTAATTTTTGATAATTAAGTAATCATCAGTTTTTAATCTAATAGTTTTTTATGTGTACATATTTAATACAAAGAGTGTGCAAATGGCAATATATATATGTTTTTAATATTTCTATTGAGGAATTGAAAAATAATCATTGTAAAATTAGTGGTGGTATTAATGTTTTTCAGTTTTTGCTTAGATGGTACACTATAAGTCAAAAGGTTGAAAACCGCTGATTTATACCATTAAAGTTTTTCTGTTGGGAGGAAAAGGAAAAGAAGAATCCAGAAAACATTAGATTTTATGTAATAGATACAAACTTGTCATTCCTAAATGTCCATTGCAGATTTCCTCGTGATAAAAGGTGTGGAATTTTCTAATGTAAAAAAAAGAAAAAAAGCATAAAATAAGCACAATTTACTCAACAATCTTGACTGAAATATACATGCTTTCAGAGATAGCGAAAAGTTTACTCAACAATCTTGATTGAAATATGCATGCTTTCAGAGATAGCATAAAAGAAGCACAATTAACCTCGACAATCTTGATTGAAATATACATGCTTTCAGAAATAATATACAAAGCATACTGCATAATCAAAGTTATGAGTTTATATACTACGAGATACTATACATGTTTATAATATACCATGTTCCTGTACACCTAACACCTCGTCCACAATTTTCTATACAATTCATTAAAGATAGTTCCTGAAACATAACTGACTTAAGAGAAACATGCATACTTCTAATTTATGCACAATAATTTGACAAACATTGATTTCAGGTAAAGAGCTACATGTATTATATCAAAGAAAGAATGAATAAGTGTAATTTGCCTTTATCCTACAAATACTTAAAAACATTTACATTAAAAAAAATGAATTATACGTAATCGTAGCAAATTTTTAATGAAAAACAAAACAAGAGTTGAAAACTTAATGCAGTTTTTGTCAATATTTTACTCTCTTAAAATTTATATAAATGTATAGAAACTTGAAATGCATACCGCATTTGGCTGGAAAACTTGTGATATTGTACTGCACTCTAGAGAAAGGGAAAAGTATACAATGAAGCAATCATAAGAATAAAAGATATTTGCATATTATTGAAACCACCTTAATAAAAGTTACCAAATTTTCAAAAATGTGCCAAACTCTGGCAATGATTATGCATCAAAATTTTTCAGGTAACATGCTCATGACAATTTTTCATTCAAGCAATGTCACCATTTTCATATGTGTTCCTTATGTTGTATTTCAAGTTCCAATGGTTTTTAGATACGAATAGTTGTTTTAGATTAATTTCAGATTTAAAATACTGCTTGTGGAGCTTACCATCAAAAGAAGAAGCTGTGTTAAAAGTTCTGCAGGAATAGAATATTTTAGTACAAAAATTTCTAATGGAAACAACTATGAGATGAATTTGGTACATAGACAAGGCATGCAGTATCAAGTTTATGTAATTCTCTGATTTTTTTTTTTTTTTTTTTTTTGTGAAAAAACATGATCACGAATTTTGAATAACGTAATCACAAGCATGTGAAGACAAATTTGAAATTTGTTTCAATTTTTTAAAACTTTGTTTTGATTAACAAACTCAAGATTTCAAAAAATGGCAACGTTTGCAAAAAAACATTTTTAAAAAAATTTAAAGATATTTTTTAAAATATTTTGTGAATTTTAATTTAATTTTTTAATAAAGTAACATTAATTAAATTTAAAATTTGTTATTTTATTTTTTTTATTCAATTTGTTTTTAAAATTTGTTAAATGTTTTTTCCTTTGATATGTTATAACGTTTTGCCAACTTTGATAAATATTGATAGTTTGGTTATGCTAAAAGCAAGCTGCAAAAACAACGTACTTCTCCTGATAAGTATTTTTCTCTTTTCATTTATAAAGACCACCAAACTGATCCAGGTATTTGTGTTATTATGTAAGTACCAAAAATATTGAAGAATGCACAATGAAAGATGGCAACCAGTATGGTAAAAGATACAATTAATATATGAAATGAAAGAAATCTTATTAAAAGACGACTTTCATTATCAGCAGAGAAGCATGACACAGTTACAGTAAAGAAATTAAGCTTTTGTTTCTGCACTTGTAGCTTTTAATAGCAAAAAATTGTTTTTTGAAATTTTATGAAATAAATAAATCTGAACATAACTGATATCAAACGAGAATGGGTCCAAACTTTCACTTAAGAAGCAGAAAGTGTACTGTAAATGCACAATATAATGAGCAGAACACAAAGCATAATTTATAAATTAAACCTTTACTCTGGATGTATATATTACATTAATATCACATTAGAATTAGCACTTACTACAATTCAGAGTTTCATATAATTTTTATTTATTGTATTATATTGAAATACCTTTAATTTCATTTTTATATTTTCCCAACGATGTACAATATAAACCTTAAAATTGCTCTTAACCGTTGCATCACATAATGAATGTCTAAGGGAAGGAATGCCTGCATGGAAAACTAAGGAAAACTTAGTATTCATGTTATACATTGAAAAAATGAAGAGAACACTCATGCAGCTAGCTTTTTCACCTGGATTTTAAGAGAGACTGGGATAGCAGTGTTCAGCAGGCTTATCTGCTTGCACATAGATGGGCTTATTAATTACTATATAATTCAAGAACTAGTTAAATTTCATATGGTAAACATGCCTACTGTCACTGAAGAATCATGCATCTGCATTGAACAATAAAAATATAACACAAATTTGAATTTTAAACTAAACTTACTATTAGAAGAATAAAAACCAAATGCTGTAATTTGAAAATGGGAAAAAATTGTGGTTTATATTTAAAAAAGCAAGTATTTTTGTCTGAAAAGTAAAATATATTTTACACACACCTGTTGCTCTAGATTACTTTGGAGGGAATCTATAGGATAAAGTAAATAAAGTTGTACACATTACATTACATGTCTGTATATTTCCTTCGTTTTCAGGACTGAAACACTTCATCATAAGCTCAGAAGAATTATGGGAACTGATGTTTTTTGTTTACATCGACACGCAGTCTCATTGGATATTGATGTAGTTTATCGGACAAGCTCTCCTGGCACGAGAGCAAACCAGCTCCCCATTGCAATTTTGACGTCATCAGTTACCAGAGCGGTAAAGCGTTGCACTTGAATTCGACTTTAGCCCGATAAGGAAAAGGAACGTATCTTGCAGCTAAATTTGATATACGTTAATTCCCCCTAAGGGAAAACATTATTAACTCTGATTTTACTTAATGTATTCTTTTAATGGCAAACAATCCACCCTGACTTTAATGTATGCAGTAAGTTATTATGGAGGAATGCGTATTATAGGCTGTTTAAATTCTTTACATATTATGCTAATCAGGAATTGCAGCAAAACCCTGCTTAATCGAAAAATACACTCACAGGAATGGTGGAGGAAAATTGAACTGTCCAATATTTGTTTTGCCCCCCCCCCAAGAAGCCTGGGTATACATAAACAGTATAGAGTGAAATAATTGTTTTTAGTAAATACATTTAAATATCTTTGATAGAATATGTCAGTGTTAATTTATACTATATTAAATAAGCATGAAGTTCTTATGCTATTAAATGTGTATTGTCACATGGAAATTTTCTATCTTGTCCTAGGGAAGGGGACGAAAGGAAAACAAATGACTTTTCGGAAGAAACTGAATTTCGGTGCAGTAAATCTTACTGCTAAGTTTGAGATAAATTAAGTGCAATGCAAATTTATAATGACTTACTATTGTAAATCATAATTGGCATAGAAACACTGAAATATATATATATATATCGAGCCTATTAAGTTATTTCTGGTAGTTAAGAGTTTTTAAATATAAATGATGGAAACAAGAAATTCAGAGGAAAGAAAAATATTGATAAAGGTTGTCAGTATGCATTTGAAACCAGGAAAAATAAAATTATTTAGGATTATTCTTAATTAAAATCACTTAGGGTAATGAATTTAATTACAGGTTCAAATATAAACCATAGCTTGTGGGTCCCCAAGAATATATTATGACAGTAATTTTTTTTTCGTAATACATTCTTTATTATCCATAAAGGGGGTTTCACCTTTGCCAGAGGTTCATTGTCGCCCACTTTGAGTTTTCATTATCTAGTTTAAAAATTTAAAGATAATTCATTGTGCAATGCAATTGCAACATGTACTGACTGAAAACTTTCTGAAGGTACCAACTCATCATCTTCAAACACATTAATCTCAGGATTTTCAACACAATACCTTAAGCATATATTATGTTAAATGGCCACCAGATATGACCATTTTACATATTTTGCTTTGTGAATACAATAGTGTTTCACCAGTAACGTACAGTACCCTAAATCTTGATTTGATATCTATAGCTGCAGGAACTTTTCTGTGCTTCTCATTATAGAGATATTCCCGTGATAAAATGGGATTATAATCCACTATCTCCCAAAGATATGCACGATGCAAAAAATACTATCTAGATTTTGTTCGAGTCCACTCAAACTCCATATAAATGCATCATGAGTATTGCCTAGCCATTGTCCTACAGCATAGAGAACCCTCAGACCAGCATCCCATACCTAGAAAAACATAAATCCTAAGTCAAAAGAAAGTTTCATCTGAAATTTTAATACACAGATTTTTAACATTGAACATAGTTGATATATTAATAAATCAGTCTTTTTAAGGAGTTTACTTTCCATTTTTAACAAAAATATGTCACTGTTTTTTCATTATTAAAAATATGCAATAAACGTTAAAACAAACAAAAAAAAACATTATAGCTACCCTTTTTTTCATTAAATTGTAGTAAATAGATGATTCTAAAAGCTTTTGTATTATTTAATATCAATACTTCACTATAATTATAGTATAGATAGTTTTTTTTGTTATTATTATTTGAATAATAATAATAATAAAACATTCTTGCAGTAATTTGAAATGACTATAATGTTATATACTTATTATCATATATTTCTTACCCTTTCACCATTAATGGAAAATTTATTTTTCCGGTTAATGAAGACAAAACAAAAATTAATATCACCACACTTGCAACATCTGCGGTTTCATTTGAATGTAACCCAAAATAATTCTTGGTAAGCTAGGTAGAATCACATTTTGTGATTGCACTCCAGTTCTTTTACAGCTGGTCGAGAGAATTAACATCTACTGTACGTGGAAATAGCGAACAAAGCAGTAAGAAATTGGAACGATTACCTGTAGACAACTTGTATTCATAGCATTCTAAAATGAGCTTTTGGTAAAATTTGACCGCAAATAAAACAGTAGTAATGAACGAATGTTTTTTCACGAAGCGGGTCCAATATTTTCACAGCAGGGCTATTTCATGTATTCTACAGAGAGACTGATGTATGGTTTGTTGTAACTGCTGTATACAAATGTCTGGCTCAGAATTTCACAGAAGCAATTGGCACAACTTTCATGGTTGATGGTATAATATGGAGGTACCAAAAATTAGTATTATCACAGTAACTGCAAGATGGCTTATATTTTTAAAACTCAGTTAACACATTTAATGCAGAAAATAAAGATTATCCAGTTTCATACTTAAATCAAGGTCACTGAAATGTGGTAAAAGCAATCTGCTTAAGAAAACAGATGCCTCTGTAGAGGACTTTCTATGGAAAACTGGCTTTCATTCCCATTATACATGGGCAAAACCAATGTCGTGTAATATAATAATCTATTAGTACAGTAAATACATTTAATTTCTTTGCATTTATTTATGTCATGCTGCTTTTCGTGTAATTTAGTATGATAACCTTATAAGTTTATTTAATTCTGCTCATGGTCTACGGAAGTAAGGTAAGTCACCTGTTATGAGAATATCAAGTTATTAATATTTATGTGAAAGTCTGCAATAACTTTTCATATCATAAGAGATTTACAAATGTGTATATAACTTACATGTGTAGTTATTATGCAAGATCTATAGAAAGTAACCAAAATTACCATGACATTAATCACACTGTACGAACAGGCAAGACATTATACATTAGGAGAAAATTAACTAATATTTTGGGGGATGAAATACTATTTTACACATGGGAACTGTTTAAACAGCTGAGAAAAATTCATGCTTTTTCCCCTACAGTTACAGAATATATATATATATATGTTTCATAAGAATAAAAAGTAAAGTTAAATTTAAATAATTATCATGCGCCATTGCTGCAAAGAATTAAATTTGAATTTAACAAATATTCTCTCTTCATATAAAGTTAATTTAAATTATGAAATTTTAATTGCATACATATCAAAGATTAATTATTGCTGCGAATTAATTTACTATATCATTGAAATTCTGAGAGCATATGTAAATTAAATGCACGTATCTAAAACCATGAAAAAATATATATTCCAAAAAACTAATCCCCAATATATACATATATATATATATCTAATTAATTAGAAGGCAAGCATATGCATAATTTCTGTTAGAGAAAACAGTTTCTCCGAGATTACGTTTTAGAGTAATTAAAACTCGAAAGGATAAATTAATGGTGATATTATTACTGCATTCCAAAATTCGCAGTAATTAACGATTTTTCGATCATTACTACGAAAAAAAAGCGGGATGAAAAGAAAGAATCCTGATACAATAACATTAAAAATTTGTGTGTTTACGTATAAAAATATATAATATTCTCAAATAGGTCATTTAAGCATAGTCTTTGATTCGGAAACATTTCCAGAAGTATTTCAGTTTTCATAATCTAAAGTAAAAACAAACCTGCTTTTGCAGAGAATATCCATTGGCAGTTAGTTGCCTTCAGAAAAGGTTTCAATTCATTGAAGCAAACCGATTTAATCTGAATCAACTGATGAATTCACGCTCCGACATTTCAAAAGCATTACGACTGTTTCTTAAATGCCAAGGAATTTGATCAGCATTTCTCCGATATCTTAAGCGTCTGAGCAAAATCACTTCAGCCATCTTGTTTACAGTCGCTGTTAAGGGTTTGCGGCAGGTCAGGAGTAGAGCCGCAAAATTCCTCTATGGTAGTGACGTATTTTCAGTAGGCGTGTCCGAAAAGCGTTGCACTTGAATCCGATTTTGCAATGCAAGTGCGATTACCATGATAAGCGTTGCACTTGAATTCGCCCCTTAGCAATACATATTCTTTGGCACCTATGCTTGATTTTTGCCCTGCGGGCAGAAAGACTTAGTGGTTGCAAAACATGACATCCGTTTGGATCAAAACCTCATTGGTCTGGATGGCAAGATGTTTAAATTCTTTCAACCATTCCGGAAGCTTTCTTCGCGCGGTGACTCCAAAGCAGTGCAAAAACGACTCTGCATTCCAAATATTTGCAGCAGTTCATGACAAGTGACATTTGTTTGATGATCAGACAGGCGAATTGTCTCATTAGTGGATTTTCTTTTACACTTTAAAGTCAGACGCTTTATTATTGTAAAATTATGGCGTTAAATTTTAACGATTACATGATCCCGGATCATGCTTTGCGAATGTCATCCGCTTTAGGCACAGCGGTAGAAATTGGAAATGAATTTTATATACCTTCTTTACATCATGTTGAATCTAATGTTACATCAACGGAAGATGTATCTGTCCAGAGTGAAAGGACTCATTCAACTATTTCAAATACTGAAATTCGTGCAATTTCGGAAAAAACTTGTATGTTTGAGGTTTGTTTTCTTTATTTTTTTTATTTTCTTTTGAAAATGTAATTTTTTTGTGTAATTGTACTCATATAAAAAAATAAATGCTTATTATTTTTTAATTTTTGAAATTTCTTTTGTAACGTTTTCTGAGCAATGTTTGGTTTAAGTGATAAATTTATAGACTACTCATTTTTATGTTTTATTGATAGAGTTTGCATGGAGTATAAGAATTAATTATTCTCCTTTTACATCACTTTTTAGTGTTGATTTCTATGCATATATTGAATTTGATGCAGACCAAAATTCAAAGCCATGTGAATATTATTTTTATAAATAACATATCACAATATTTCCTGGATTTTAACTTATTTCTTATGTTTATATTTTCTATCTATTTCTTTATTTACTTATTTATTTTTATGTTATAGCTTCAGTCTGCGAGGGAAGTTATCCAAAAGATTGATCGAATGTATGATTTGTATAAGGGACACTCGCAATTATTACAGGTAGTTTTACTGCACTTTTTTCTTTTTATTGTAGATCTAATACTTGACTTTGAAAAATAATATTATCGGAAAGAGAAAATGAATTTTTTAAATACAGTGCAAAAAAGCAAGCAGACTAAACTGATTTCCAGTTGTATAATATTTGTCTACTGCTACTACTATATACTACTGCAGTCTTACTTGTTTTATGATTCCAGTTTTTCATGTGCATAAATAATGAATGTGGAATTCTGTCAAATTTCTCAAAACTTTGTACCAGATATGTACATAAATTTGCAATACATAGTATCATGCCTAGTGAAACTTCAGATTTTCCCCAGAATTACTTTGCAGTTTCAGACTTTTTAAAATGTGAATAGATTCGTAAAAAAAAATAGGCTATAGTGTAGAATTGAGTGCCCCTTTGACTGACGTCAAATTTTGTTTAGTTTTGGTGATGAAACCCCATTTATGGTTACCATGATAGTTTTAACTTGGTTTTAGCTTCCTGATTTTTTTTAAGTGAAAATAGATCAATGTGTACATGGGCAAAGGCAGTGTGCACTGCCGAACTTGCACAATTCTCTGATTTTTTTTTTTTTTTTTTAATGGAAATAGCTCGGTGTGTACATGGAGACTGAGTTTGTGAAATTCTTTACTTCTTATTTGGGTTCTGTGTAGCAGCCATCTTTAAATTGTACCTTCCTGGTGCTAATCTTGGTGTCAAAAAAACAAGAGCCACCCAATCGTAAACTTTTACCGAAAAATAGTTTATTTTTTATTTACATATTGAAAATTATGTTATTTATGATTATGTAAATTTCTAATATAAAATTATTTCAAGTTTTTACATCCTGGCAAAGCAGAAATTTTGGAATCCCATTTGTGGAAAACTATCTGTTGTAAGCTGTGTGTTCAAGTGATTGAGTGGAAAAATATACAGTTACGTTTTGAACATTCAAGCCTTTTCTGTATTAAATTAAATACAAAAGTGTCCCTGTGGCATTCATTTATGCACTCAAAAGTCGTTAATTTGTACACCCATAATCCGGACCTCAAAGCTAAAATCTTTTTGCGCATGCGCATAGACGTTTTACGCGTGCGCGCAAGACATTTACGACTGCGCATATGCGTCTGCGCAAGCGCAGAATACATTTTCACGTGCACGTTTAGCGTATAACGTACAGTATAAACTAAAATTATCTATTTCAGTTAATGTTGATGATTGCGTTGTTCCTTAATCTTCGAATTGGATCCGGCTTATTATTTTTTGCAGACTGTAAGAGCAATTTTAAAAAAGTAAGCTTGAACTTTCGATTATGTCAAATAGAATTTCTGATGCTGGAGCTCCCAAAGGATCTAGAAAACGAAAGTATGCTTCGATGTCCATCAAACAAAAAACGAATTGCTACAAAAAATGGATAAAGGCATATCCTTTGTTTATCTAACCGTTCTGAAATTTGTTTATCAATTTCACGCTGCTCTGCGCGGGAGGGGGGGACGTCGCGGCGTGCAATGAACTGGACGTTGATCTGTCAGCACTATCGTTATCTTCAGGGCAGATGTTTTTATTTTATTCGGCTTATAATTCCTTACTAAATGTAGCATTTAATCTCGATGTACTCCATCTTTGATATGATTTAAATAAAATTCCTCGTCATTATAAATATCACGAATACAAATCAAATAGTTTTCTGGTTGCAATTTTCTAATTTCGGCTATGCGCAAGGTATGCTTTATGCATGCGCATGTTGAAAGAAATGTTTAATAAAGTAAACAAATAAATAAAGCTTTTTTTTTTTTGTAAATTTTAATACCCTTTAGATCATAATTGCCCATTATTTTATAAATTACAGTTTCATATTTTTAATTTTATAATTTCTGCATGCCACCTTACTAGATTTAAACTGATGATCTATAATCCGGAATCGCCGAAGTCCCAACAAGTCCAGATTAAAGACTTTTGACTGTAGTAGAAAAATGTCACAGGTATTGCTATTTTGAATAATTTATTTTAAATATGTGATACTTTTTGTCCTTATTTTGAATTTTTAGAAATAGGTTTTTAAACCAGTAAGCCTACGTTAACTTTAGTTTAAAATTCTTTCAGATGTTAATATGTAATTTGAGTATAATCATATTGTATTTCATGAAGACAAATTGTTATGTTTTATTATTTTCTGACATTTTAATGATTAATTCTCTTGATTTTTTGAAATGTAATCTAAAATTCTGAGCTTGTAATTTTTAGCAATGATGCAATGTTATGTTGGAATAGTTTTGTCTAAAAGTATACAGTTGTTAGTATATATTAACTTTGGTAAAAATTTCTTTGAATTATATCTACTATTCTGAACAGAACTCGATTCTTTCTATTATAATTCAATTATATGTCATGCATTTAACATAATTAAGGCATTGGTACTATTCTGTTTTGAGGACTGTAAAAAAATTGCAGGTAAAATGCAATGTGCAAAAGCTCCAAATCTAGCAAACGCACCCATTTAACAGTGCAACAAATCTATCGTACACGCTGATTTCAAATTACGTAAGTTTAGATAGTTCTGTATTTCTAAAGACTCCATTGAAATACTAGTTTAATTTTGAATACTTTTTTGATAATGCTGTGGATTTAACACTTTGGGAATTGCCCAGTGACGAAAAGAATTTTTGGTTGATCTTTGGATTATGGTAACTTGGCGAAAATTTGGCGACCAACTCTGCTACAGCAACCCTCTATTTTTTTTTCGCCGCCATTTTGTCTTCACGAAGTAAAGACATGTTTCTTTTCTTTTTATTTACTCAACACTTTTTCTAACAATCTACTAACCGAATTACACTTATGCTAGAAATTTTATGTAACAAAACTGATTAATCATGACAAATATTAACTGCAAAATTGGGAAAAAGTGCACAATCACAAAATCCTTGCGCGTTTTTCAGAATAGCACATACACATAAACCATTTACACGTCGACTTATTTTTACTTAAAAAAAATCCCAGAATTGCACAAAAATGGCATTGCACACACTCTTAACTTTATCCATCTACACTGCTATTTTCTCATAAATTAGAATAATTTGCACGAAAATGCTGGAAAATTTTCTTAATCTTTAAACTCTGTAAAAAGCACATGTATGAAATTACCTGATCGCGAAAAAGTACATACCCTTTCCAAGGATGAACATTTCCACGTATAAAATAAATAAAATATTCAAAAACTTTTACCTCTAAATTATCTTTTATATTATAAACGTCACCAACGAATTTATACGCAAACATTAAAAATAGTTACAAATACTTAGTGTCAAATATTTAAATTATTTGCATACATGTTTACTTCAACTGAAACGTATACCAAATTCCTACAAACATAAAATTCACAAAATAACTATCATTTAATTAAAATATAACTAAACCATGTAAACGTCAACTTATTTTTACTTAAAAAAACATCCCAGAATTGCACAAAAATGGCATTGCGCACACTCTTCACTATATCCATGTACACTGCTTTTTCTCATAAATTAGAAACATTTCACAAAAATGCATGAAAATACTCAACGTATTCCAACGTATTATACTACTCAAACGTATTTCAAAATGCTACAAACATATAACTCACAAAATCACGATCATTAAATTAAAATATAATTAATTTAAAAAACACTACTTAAAATATAAATAAGCACATACATTAAATTAATAAAAATTACATTACAATCCTAATTACTTTAAACTAAATCATTGCTAATAACAATTTTCCAATAATACCATATTAATTTATTTACTCCTTACATTTAGAACAATGCATAAAAATAATATCCTCAAATAATTAAAAATACTAACTTACCTAATCTTCTTCAGAATCTTCATTACGTGGCACGCACACTTCCCTACAGAAAGAGTTCCAATCGGCTGCAGTCCTACTGCTAATTTCTAAATCCGAAATCCAGTAGTCAAATGGCAGTCTATTCACCAAGTAATAAGAAATTAATAAAATTTCACCCATACGCAAACTACTTTCAGCAAACCACGTACCCTTCCTTACACTCCGTTTCACAATATGTCCATTTTCACCAGATTTCTTGCACCGCCATTCAAACTTATCTGTAATATCCTTCCTTTCACACAATCTCAACTTATTATCAGATAAACACATTAAATATCATTATCAGATGTTATCAGATTATTATCAGATAAACACATTAAAAATTTCACTTTACATAGCACCATGCAATCCGAAAATTAATCAACACTATTTCGCACAATGAAGCTTAATATAAAATACTTTTTCCAAATTTACACCCTTTTCCGATTAAAGAACTGTAATTCGTCCATTAATGTCACATGACATATCTCATGATCTCATTTCCCTCACACAAAATAATGCGTAATCGGTACTGAGTACTTCTCACATTATTACCAAAGTCCTAGGTAGTAACCTTTATCGCCTCCAAAATGTCGCCAAACTACCTGTTACCATATTCCAAAGATGAGCCGAATTTTTTCAAAGAAAAGGCATCATTCATTATAGAAAATTATGTTTGAATAACCAACGAGATGAAATGATGCTTGTAATAATAAATGTTATTGTAATTATATAAATGCTATATATGAAATAAATGTGTTGCCATCTATAAACTATTCATAGAACTGCATAACAAAAAAATAATGAAAATTTCAGTCATTAACCAGGTTCGTATGATTCTTAAAGGTCCTTAAGTTTACAGGACATCGATTCAACGTAGATGATAAGTTGAAGTTATGGAATCCCATTCGATAGAAAAAACTCTTTCCTAAACAATAGTCATCTTGGGATGGTCCTGACACAATCCTTAACAAAGATGTTATAGTTCAGATTCATCAAATTTTAAGCCTGAAGTCGTTCACTACGACAGGCTAGCCTCTTACTATGGCCATAGTACAGTCAAAAGTATTTAATCCGGACTCATCAGGACTTCGGCGATTCTGGATTATCAATTTTTCCGGATTATAGATCATCAGTTTAAATCTGGTG